TTAGGGCCTGGGAGCGAGGCCGTGTGAGGGAGAGCTCGCTGTGGAAGGGCCGGGTCGGAGGCACGCTCTCACTTCTTTGCCTCTCCCTTCGCAGCAAGAAAAAGCGCAAGGAGAAGAAAAGGAAGAGGGAAGAGGATGCGGCAGAGCAGCTTGATATTGTTGGTGAGCTGCTTTCCAGGAGTTGTGTGACAGTGTGGAAACTGTAGGGGATTGCAAAAGCTGAAGAGATTGTCGTAGGACTTTGTAAACTAAGTGCAGACCCTGTAGGGATTTAAAACTATTTCTCACAACACGTTTATTTGTATGTTGGGATCTTCCATGACTCCAAATGGAACTTCTGATACCAGTGGGATGGGTTTTCCTCTTAATTGTTTAGCTACAGTATGTTCTTACATAATCTCAAACTACTTATCAGCTTGGATCTCGTGGTGGTGGTGGTGGTGTTTCCCCAATGGTATTTGCTTCAGGAGGAGAGACTTTTTAGCACTGTAATGCTGTTTAATGGGTGCATTTCTATGTAAATAACTTACATCTTCTGTGACTATTTGAAAATTAGTGGTTGGATCACCTGTGCTTTCTGTTCTTACACTACCACTAGTTACTTTAATAGTGCTTTCTGTAGTTTCTGAGTCTTGGTTAGTTTGTTTATTTGGTTTTTATTTGACATATTTGCTTGACTGCTGTGATGAGTTCACATTATAAATTTGCTACTGCTAATTGAAGCTGAAGACACAAACATTAACCAGTAACAAAATACAAGTTTATTTCTTTTTCATAAAATAGAAGAATGAAAGTATATATGGTCGTGAGCAATAAGGTGACAGACTGTTGCCCTTCGGCGCTATCATGTCCTTGATTGATCACAGTTCACTTCACAAACAAAAACAGCTAAAAAAGAACGACAAAGTCATGAAAGATGCAGACATGTACTGTGGCACAGTGCACATTACAGCATAAATGTAACTTTTCATTACGCATACATAGGCATAAGCTAAAGCAGTACAAGGGGAAGTCATCCTTGTTCCTATGTTAAATTATGATATAAGAGAAAATTGTTGTATCTTACACTAGAAGAATGTTACACATGTTCTACATTCTTTAGTTTAGCCAGATTTCAAAAAAGTGGGAGAGATTTGGAAAATTCGTACATTGATTTGTGAGCCCTGACTGTATAGGACAAGACAATTAGGTCCGTATGTTATATAAAGATAGGGGAAGATTATTTCTGCTCAAGGCAGACTGACTTGCCAAATCTGCTGTATGGAAAAAAGACATTATATTCAGATTAGTTAAAAATAGTTATTATCTTAATCAGGTAGGAAATATTTGTCAGACAGCATACCAGGAGAAAATTTTACTGTTTAAAAAATATAAATGTCATAATTCTAATTCATGCATATGGGTAAGGCTACCTTTAACTTTGGTAAAATTCTGTGGTGCTCAAACATTCAAATACAGATTGGCTTGAACAACTGCAGCCTAAGGATTACAGCTCACATGAAGTAATTTAACAGCAAGATGAGATAGTTTGTCTGTTTCTGTTGTGTTGGAGAATCTCATAATTGGATACGACCCCAAAACTGCAGGAGGCTGCTCCGGAGGCGCGGGGGGGTGGGCACGTGGACCAAACTTCCTTGCAAGGTGTATCTTTGCTGTATCAGCTAAATGGATCAACTTGCTCAATGGACTAACACAAAGAAGGGATGAAGTGCAGGAGCTTGTAACTAGGGATGGCAGGGTGGGTAGAACAGCAGGGCTTCCTGATTCAGCAGCAACACCATTAAATTGGCTCTGTACTATAAAATTATATAAAGATAAATAATACAAAGATCTTGAGATAGTAATAGCAATTGTATCCTTAGAATTTCAAATCTCAGAGAAGACACAGAAGTATCATCTCTTGAACTACTGTAATCAGAAGTTGTAATTACTCATCTTAAATGTCATGGTTTTGTATTTTAGGAAACTGGTGGGCTGTCAGTAATTTTGGTGAAATTACAGGAACGATAGCTATAGAAATGGATAAAGGAACTTACATCCATGCCCTTGACAACGGATTGTTTACGCTTGGAGCACCACATAAAGGTTTGTTTCAGGAAACCTGGAAATCAGCAGTTTTAGTAATGAAAGGCATAAAAGCGTAAAAGTAGCATCACTTAAAGGCAAGCAGTTTTACAGCTCAAAGCAGTTTATTACAAATAGTGCAATAATCCTAGCCGTAGCATGCAGACGACTTAAAACTAATGACTACCAATCAGTTTCACTTACCTAGTTTCTTGCTGCTTTATGTACACAATAAATTGAACTGCATTGGAGATGATCACCTGTTAAAGGCCATACCACTTACTGGATAACAAGCAGTATAACTTTTATTAAATCCTATAAAATCTTTACAGTGTCAGTTGAAGAGTGAAACTCAAGGCAGATGAGTTTCAAGGCTTATTGCCACATCCTCATCTTAATATACTTGTTTTGTTGCTGCACAAGTGGGCTGCTAATGTGGTGGGATAATTAGCTTGTCCTTACTTTCAGTTTGAGAGCCATCAGCCAGACAAGCACTGTTCCAGAACCCAGACAGTGTGTTTCACCTGCAGGGTGAGATGAAAGCAACGATGGCAATATTATCTCATTTTGGTTTTGAGGAGTGTAGAGGCTAGTAGCTTTTAGGGTAGTGGGTTGTGTTTCCGTAGCTGAACTGTAATACATTTTGTTATGGAGAAAAATAATATTACAAGGAGATTAAGGTTTCCAAAGCCATCTGGAGAACTACAAAACATTCTCAACTGTAAATTTCTTTACACCAGGATTGCCTTTATTTTATGTTTTAAGCACTTTAAATATATGAACATAAATGAGCACCTGCATTGCTTTTTTAAAACTTTTAAAGAAACGAAGTATTGCAGCTTCCCGTAGTATTTAGCAGGGGACGGTGTTTAATTCTTTTTGAAACTGCGGTATTAACAGGCTAAAATATTGTATGTTTAATACTTCATAGCTAACTGTCCTGGTTTCAGCTGGGATAGAATGAATTTTCTTCCTAGTAGCTGGTACAGCGCTGTGTTTTGGATTTAGTATGAGAATAATGTTGATAACACAAAACTGACGTTTTAGTTGTTGCTAAGTAGTCCTTACCCTGAGTCAAGGACTTTTCAGTTTCCCACGCTCTGCCAGCGAGGAGGGGCACAAAGAGCTGGGAGGGAGCACAGCCAGGACAGCTGACCCCAACTGGCCAGAGGGATATTCCATACCATAGGGCGTCATGGCCAGTATGGAAACTGGGGGAGTTGGCCGGGAGGGGCCGATCGCTGCTCAGGGAGTGGCTGGGCATCGGTCAGCGGGTGGTGAGCAATTGTGTTGTGCATCGCTTGTCTCTCTTGGTTTTTATTCCTCTCTCTTTTTGTTATCTCCTTTTTCATTACAATCAGTAGCAGTAGTAGTATTATACTACCATAATTGCGTTTTCTTTCAATTATGAAACTGTTCTTACCTTAATCCATGGGGTTTACCTTTTTTCTGATTCTCCTCCCCATCCCACCGGGGCAGGGGAGGAGTGAGCAAGTGGCTGCGTGGTGTTTAATTGGCAGCTGGGGTTAAACCACAACACTAACTGATGGAAAATTCATTCCTCAGATGATGAAGGCCCTAGTCCTCCTGAACAGTTTACAGCAGTAAAGTTGTCTGATACAAGGTAATTACTGTAACAATGTTACAAGTTTTGATGCTTGTTAGCTTTGTTTCTGCTATGAATACATGTTTTAATATTCTCTTGAAATACATTGTCTACTAATAATGTGTTTGTGATGTGTTGGATGTTGTGAATTGCTTGAATTTAAAACATTCTTTATTGTTTTCCTGCATTTTCTCTTTGAGGATTGCTCTGAAGTCTGGGTATGGCAAATACCTTGGTATAAATTCAGATGGACTTGTTGTTGGACGTTCAGATGCAATAGGATCAAGAGAGCAATGGGAACCTGTCTTCCAAGATGTAAGCTGTTTGGAATAGTTCATTTGATCTTTCTAGCATTTGACTATTTTGAGTTAATCTATATTGATGTTCTTTGCCTGTGGAGTAAAAGCCTTTTGCAGTGTCTTCTATATTGTAACTTTTAATCTTCTGATTTCCCAACTGCACTGCATTTACTGTAATTGGATGTTCTTAAAATACTTCAAGTTACTGCATTTTGGCAGCTATAAGCATCTTAAGAAAGAAGGAGCTGGCAAGTCTGCTGGCTAGCTATTGAAGTGTCCATATACAAAAGAATAAAATACATTTACAGAGTTTGTAGTGTATTGTAGAGGACAAATGTTATGAATCAAGGATTGTATACAAACTCTTTATACTAACAATATGTGATGTTATTTCTGCAGAAGAAAATGGCATTACTAGCAGCAAATAGCCGTTTTATTAGATGTAATGAAGAGGGAGACATAGAAGCCAAAAGCAAAACTGCAGGGGAAGAAGAAATGATAAAGGTAATCTGTAACTTCCACAATTAATACAGGATTGGCACGGATATTCAAACAACCAACTGTCTGTGTGCTACAATTTACTGTTAATACAGTTAGAATTGCTTTCTGTAAGCTGTAAAGTGATTTGGCTGCAAGAAGGGTAAATAAGCTCCAGGGCTGCATAAACTGAGGTACTTCCAGTAGAGAGAGGAAGGTATTTTACCACCAGATGATGTTGGGCAAGATGTTGGGGGGCAAGGCAGTCTATGTGGTATTCCAGATGGTTCTGAACAGCTTGGTATGGAAGAGATGAATTATGACTGAAGCAGGGACAGAGAAGTGTTTACCAGAATGATGCAGAGAGGGAGATTTTTTTAAGTAAGAGAAGGTAAAAACACTTATCTTGACTTTATCTGGATGTGGAAAATATACGTGTGCCTCCAAATAGAGATAGGTGTTTACTAGTCAGAGCAATAATATTTTTAAGTCTGATGAAGAAGGCATTTTACCCCTGCTAAAACTAAGACCTGTAATGGATGAAGGCGATTATGTCTTATAGTAGTGTTAAGGATTTCCCATACTTGAGGTAGCTCTTGCTTTTATTGCAGTTTTCTCCAGTTGCGAATTAACCAGTCTGTAAACTGTGAATTTAAAAGGTCACCATGACTCTCATTCTGTTATGAAGGATATGTTGTCACCTTTAACTTGTAACTTCTGGTTTTAAAAACAGGTGCTTTCTGCTTTGTTCTGTTGTTTTTTCTCTTGATGACTAGATTCGTACCTGTGCTGAAAGGGAAGCTAAGAAGAAAGATGACGTTCCGCAAGAAGACAAAGGAAATGTTAAACAGTGTGAAATCAATTATGTGTACGTAGTTTAGAGCTGTTAACAGGCTCGAGTACTTTTTTTCACTTCTCTTTGGGGCTGCCTTTGGTGAAAGGGCCAAACTCCTACCCAACCTTTCACTCGCTTTCACCTCAGCAGGACAAGAGAAGAAAAGAGGATGAGAAAGCTCATGGGTTGAGATAAAGAGGGAAATTGCGTACCTGTTACTGTCACAGGCAAAACAGACTCAACTTGTGGAAAATTAATCAAATTTATTGCCCATTAAAGTAGATCTGGGTAGTGGGAAACAAAGACAAAAATTAAAAACACCACCTCTCCTTCCCCCATCTCCCAAGCTCAGCTTCACTCCAGACTTCTCTACCTGCTCCCCCAAACAGGATGAGGGATGGGTCAATACATGGTGGTTTCTCTCTGCCACTCCTTTCCCACTCTTCCCCTGCTCTGGCATGATCCTCTCCATGGGCTGGAAGGAAATATCTGCTCCAGCGCCTGGAGCACCTCTTCCTTCTGCTTCTGTCCTTGTATGTTCACACTGCCATTTGCACTTTTTTCTTTTCCTCTTCTCCTCTGCCTGTGTAGCGTTTTGTCCTTTCTGAAATATGTTTTCACAGGAGTGCAACCAGCTTTGCTGATGGACTCGGCTGTGTCCTGCGGTGGGTCTGTTGTGGAGCCAGCTGTGCCCACCACAGGGCAGCCCCTGACCTCTTTTCACAGAGGCTGCCCCTGCAACTTCCCCACCACCAGCACCTTGCTGCCTACACCCAATACACTCCCTCCCTGACTTGTCATGCTAGTAGTTCAAGAAGGGGCTATTTAGAACTTATAATCATGTCATGCTAATCATGTAGCAGCTCATTCTTACTTAGACTGCCAAAAAACCCTTGAATAGTTTTCACCTACAGAAGTCTTAGTGCAATATTTGATACTGTGATGGTTTGCTGAATTTTATTAGGCCAGTTGTCTACTGTGTAATAGAAGTTAAGATTCTTATCACAGCTGTTGTTTTATTGAAACACAAAACTTTAAAGAAGTTACACTTTTTTACTTTTTTTCCTTCCCCCCCCCCTTACAGAAAGAAATTCCAAAGTTTTCAAGACAAAAAGCTTAAAATAAGCAAAGAAGATACAAAAGCCCTTAGAAAAGCCAGGAAAGAAGGCACTTTTCATGAAATGCTGCTTGACAGGTACTTCAAAGTACACAAAATAATGTACTGATTTAAAATGTACTGGGAGACGGAATTACAGTAAACCTGGGGTACAAGGGAGAGCCAGCTTTCACGGGGGTGGGGTGTTGAGCGTTTCCTATCTGCTCAGTGTTCTGCTTGAGTTCTGGGGTTGACTTTTTTGTTGTTCTGAATTTTTCACTTTTTTAGCTGAAGTTTGCAGGTTTGGATTTACCCATAAATGAATTCTTTTGGAAGTCTCTAACTAGATTGTTCAGTTTGTTTAGTATAGAGGAGTTGAGGGATTAGTCTTTTTAATCACAAAAATTAAGCTAATTTTTAACATTTTTCAATACCTATGGCATCAGAACATTTTGGAGAGAGGAAAGCTACATTTTAAAGAGAAACAGCATTTAAGAAGAGTCTTCATGCTATCTAGTGGGAGTAAATTTATTTTTTTCCTCCCCCTGAGCTGAGACTATAGAAACTGTCCTGAATTTTTAAAACCCTTTGTATCAGTATAAATACAGTATAAATATTTGCATTAATTCAGTGACCGGAATGCAGAAGACTATTTCTGATAATTGCAAGTGATGTGAGTACAGTCCTGGGCCATGACAGGTTGAGTGTCGGTTTCAAATCACACTGAATCTGAATTCCATTCCTCAGAGTGGACAAAATGCAATTCATGATGATTTGAAGGAAAATACAAGGTTAACGTTAGACACTGCAGTTCTAGCTCCTTAAGAAAACAAAGTTAATTAACAAATCCAAGGTGGTATTGGGCTTTCATACGTGCTTTGAAGTAAAATTTAAGAAAAATTGCCTTCAATGCTTCGTTAATGCTTTGAGGCAGATAAAATACCCAGGTGTAATCATATTTGGTCTCAATCTAAATCTTGTTTTGTTACTCTTTCCATACAGGAGAGCAAAAGTGAAAGCGGATAGATACTGCAAGTGACACCCAGCTTGGTCCATTTTCTTCTGCATCTTTGATGATAGGGTCAAACTGAAAACAAGAGTAAAATGTTTTATAATTGTTTTTTATTGAAGGTGTTTTGCTGATGTTTTTATTGCGTTATTTTTAAGGGATCACCTGAGAGCTATAATTAAGCATCCAACTAATGTCATCTTTCAGTAATGAATACTATTAAGTTTACTGTAAAGCTACATGCTATTGAAATAGTGAGATAATTATTTAATGGAAAAGAAATTGACCCACTGAATCTTCCAAGGGTGATGAAAGGAACCTGAACTTAGAGACAGGGCAGAAGAGAATGATGACGAAGTTCCAAAGTAAAATATGGTTGACACATTGAACCATGAAGAAATAAGTAACTGTACTGAACAAGAAGAAATCACTGAAAATGCATGTCTTGGAACACAGCCTACTAGATCCTGAGTAGGACATCTGTGGAGCCATTCTACACTGCATCAGGGTGAGGACTGTGCCAGAATATTCAGGCTTCATAAAACAATGTTCAAAACAGACCGACTGTTCAGGTTGGTAAGTGGCATCATCCATATGCTGGGAAAAGTGTTGAAAACTCACAAGAACCCTGTTACAAATGAAAATGCAGGTGTTGCATAAAGGAGATGGCTCTTTTGTGTTAGCAGGCCGCTTACATTACAAGAGGGGAAAATTGATTTTGCAAACTTGCTGGATTCTCTATGACATGGACTTTAATTTGTTTAATAAAACAGCAGGGACTTTTTTTTTTAAGGTCATAGTATAATATGCATTCCTACTATTTCATATAAAATATGATTACTCCTGTCTGCTCTGATTACCAAGAAGCTTTTTAGTAACAGCATCTCCATAGGAACTACCTCAGTCAGAACAATTGCTTACTCTCTCCACAGCTTCTGTAATCTGTGTCATAAAGATTGCTTTGTAAGAATGTTGAGGATTTCTATGATCATAATTTGAATTGTCTCTATGGAGTTTCTCCTAGCTGTCAATTTGAACTGCACACATAGTAGAAAACTGAAGCTCATGCAAGGTAACGGTGTGTCTAACGAGCGCAAGAACAAACCAATAAAGGCTAGTCAGTAACGGCAGTTTATATTGGTCTAATTTCATAGGCAGTTGGTCTTGAGGAAGAAGCATGAAGAATATAAGTACATCATAATTGTCTAAATCCTCTATTGACTTTTCAGCATGAAAACAAATTATAGCTGGTTAGGGAAGGCTAGCCGAGGTTAGCAATAAAAGCATTTCATTTTTCAAAGAATTCAGAAAAGTATGGATATAGCCCATAGAAATTTTATGGAACCAAAAGAAGAAAATTTCCACGGGCTGGGGATGTTTGTGATGTAACAGAGGGATTTTTAGAAACTCGTTTGTTTCTAGAAAAGCAAACAAAAATCCTGACCTTTCTCTGATGGCATTTTTAAGCTTTCCGTACCCAGCTGTATCCCACTGAGCACAGAGATTTTTGCCTGGGAGCTTTTCCCTCTAAGGCAGTAGAATTTATTTGTTTTATATCTGTTAAACCTACTATTCACTTAATACCTATTTTACAAAAACCAGCGAGGCACACTCGCTAGTTCCTTGTATGAATATCTATTTTGGAATGACTGCTTTTTCTTCCCACTTCAGCATTTTCTGTTGAGGTACTAAAAGAGAATTCAAAATGCCCCCTCTGGGGAGCTGGTTTGTGCAACTATATTAGGACAGTTGTGCTTGTAACTTTCTTATATGGACAAATCCTTGCAGACCTTCCTATCACTTCAGCTGCTCCATAACATTTTATATTTTAGTGCCAACAGAAGTTATAACAGAATGCTGAGAAATAGAATAAAAGTAAGGTCTATGCTGAATGAAAAAAAAAAAAAGTAAAATGAAATTATCAAATGAGAATTTTCTCCTCAGTTTTCAGAGGTACAAAAGGCCCCTCAGTAGCTGGGTTTTTTCTGCGCTTAAATGATCCTGTAGAGAATTGTCTTTTCCCGTATATCTCTGATTATTGTATTTCAGGAAATACTGTTAACCAAAATGTAAAGTATCAGGTGGTCATGTAATGCTTGACCTTTTTCTTAGTATCAATCTCAATAACTTCATTTTAAAGTTTTCACAGATTTTATTTCTAGTTCTAGTACAAAACTTTTGAGTTTACTCATTCAAGTTTACCATGTAGCAGGAATGACTTAAAGTTATCTTTATTTCCTATCAGTTTCTATTAACTGTGCATTCTTTCAAAGCAAGCAATTGCTGGGAATATCAACGTGTTTGTAGTGAAGCTCTGCATTAAAACATTTGCAAAAAGAAACTGTAACTAGCAGAACTGATCTTTGATTCTAATTTTTTAAGTATCTCCAGAATTATATTAAAATTCCCTCACATATCAATAACCCAGTTATAAAATCTTGTTAACTGTATCACTTGTGAATATTTGGCTCGTATTAAGGGGATGGCTCCAAGAAAAAGGTGTATAAATTATCAATAGTAAGCTATTTACAATATAGGTTAAGGCATGGGAGACAGATCGTAGAATGACATATTCCAGAGAGAAAGCTACCTGGCTTTTAGTGGTCTTGAGAGAGAATAATTGGTTTTTCTAGGGAACTCTGTGTATAACCTGATTGCTCTCAAATAAAAATAGACACCCAGTCAAAGACAGCCATGTAGGCATAGTGTGTGGCTAGCTTTTGACCAATAGCAGAAATGGTCAAGCAGATGAAACCGATGGTATGTGTGGCTTAGACATCTATGTAGCACTTGAATCACAGTGTGTCCATATGTTCTGTGACTCTGTTTTTGTAAAAAAGAGGGCTATGCTGCCTTTTCCACAGTGAGTAAAGGCCATATTTCAAGTTCCTGTATTGTTGGAAAAGATGCATTGCACGTGCGCAGGAGGTCTAACAGAAGGATGAGTGGTGACTTTCCGGGGAGAAGGCCAAAAGCTAGAAACAAATAGATGATTGTTGGCAAATGTTCCTGGCCAGAGTCTGAGGAATTCTTGGATAAAAATGCAGCATAGCTGCGGGTTCTGCTGTCACAGAAAAAAGGTCATTCATTTTTCCCCAGAGCTCCTCAGTTTGGTCTAGGACTGCGGATTAGGGCTCATTAAGTAGTTCTGGTTGTAGGTACCATGCTACATGTCCCTCCCCAGAAATTTCAGTAACCTGATGTACAGCCATTGCAACACTGTGGACCTGGAAGTGGCCTCCTGCCAAAACTGCTCCCAGAAACACTGGGAAGGAGGCAGCACCACAAGGAGCAGGCTGTAGGCCAGAGTAATTATTTATCGGGCAGTTCATTGCAGGTGTCACTGATCCACAATCACTGTGAATCTTAAACACATCTGAAGTGAATGCTGATAGTTGAAGTAGACTGATGTTACAGCATCATTTTCTTCCTGTCAAGAATATATTGTTTAAATAAAATCCTGACTGGTAGAACTCATGAAAATGACTACTCAAACAACAGAAGGGGTGCTGAAAGGAGTACTCAGAGTCTGCAGAAGAGCTGGAGAATTACCTGTGGAAAGAATTTTCCATTTCATACTTAATCAATGTAAATAGGAGAATGCAAGGTGTAGGTGTTGTAAGCAGCTGTTAGTGACAGTCAAGGAAAAACAGAACTGTGAGATGTGTTTGTTACAGAGCTAGGAATAAGTGAAGCAAAAAGAAATGTCAGAGCAAACGAAATGAGACTGTCCCAAGTAGGAGAGGAAGTAGTGGATTTGGCAAGAGACTGGCAGCCCTGCAGGGAATAAGGATGTTGTAGTAGGAATGGGGTCACCCTCTGTGTTGAGACTAACGATACACTAGATTCTTGCTAAAAATGTGTCCTGAGATAACACAGAAGCAGAGGTCTGGGGAACTCACTGGAATTTTAGTCCCAGGAAACGGAAATCAAAGGTATGACAAAACAGTGAAGATTGGTATGTGTATTAAACTGTTGCTATAAGGAGTCCATTGGGATATTTTCCCATGGGAGGTGTTCATGGAGTCGTCTTGGTGATACTGTGTCCTGGTGGTAGTGTTAGCTCAACGAGCTTTAATTTAACTGAAACAGAAAGAAAAGGGGAAGTCATTTGTGCAGCCTCTACTTCTGGAAGAAGGAACAGATCTGGGGAGCAGTAATACAGTACTGGATAGACAGGGATGAGAAAGGAGAAGAGTGGACATGAAGTACTAGGTATCAGTGACACCAGCTGTCAGGTAGTACAGTTAATGAGTAAACTGCGCATCTCGAAGCTTTTTTTCTTCTGACTTAACTTAGATTTTTGAAAACTGACAGAAGAAACCTGGACAACCAAGGACCTAAAGTACTGGTGTGGAGCCTGGAGACAAATCGTTCTGATAGGAGCACAGCAGAATAGCCATAGTCAGAGAAACACAGGTACTGGAGGATGCTAACTATTCCTTAAACTGTGAATTTCTTTCCTGGTGAAAGAACTAAACCAGAAGTACAAAGAGACTTTGAAAAAGTAAGTTGTGAATGTGTAATTTGGCAGTGGCATAATTTTGTCTTCAGAGCATTCAGAAAAAGTTTTTCATTTTCCAAAGTCATCATTTATTTTCTACTGTTAAAAATGTCCTAAAGATAGTAAAGCACCTAAAAGCTGTCTGCTCCAGAAATAAAAGCTGAGCAAAAGGGACTGCAGATGTTTAGAAAATAACAGGACCAACTTAATCTGACTATTTCTTACCATAGGCCTTAATAGTATATTCAGACACCTGCAAGTAAATACAGAACTACTGTCTTACAAGTATTTGTTTTCAACCGAAAAGAATTGCCTGGGCCCTATAGAAACTGCCCGATTTCCTATTTGTGAAAGACACCCCCATGAAAATCTCACGGTTTCTCCTGTTACGCTGTAATTTTCCTCATTTCCTAAATCCCTCGATTGGTTCTGTGTCTTCTCCCACCAGCGCTTAACGCTTTTCTGCCTTGGTCTCCAAAGCTCTGTGCAATGCCAAGCTTACGTTCTGAGCCGATTCCTTCCTATACGCTGCCGCGCGCCCTCCCTTTGCGCAAGGCTTTCACACCTCACCACGCGTTTATCATTTCGTGTTTGTTGATTTCAGCAGCGC